GTAGAAGGCTTTTCGAGTACTGAAACAATTGGTTTATTGACGAACGATCACCGATCGCTAACGGAACTCACTTTCCCCAATCTACCCTCGGCCCCTGACAGCAACTGTAGCAGCTAGTAGTATAGGCAGATTGTAATACCGGCAAACACAAGGGAGACTGGAATAGCCATTGCTGGCTTACTAGTCGTCGTCAGCCAGTCATATCCAGACCCAAGTGGTGCATCATCCAAGCCTTAACCTGCGACTCCACTATGGGTGAAAAGCTCGGGACGAAAATATACACTCCAGCTTCATCATCTTCTCCAGTATATTAAGGTCATAGGCATTTACCTGAAAGCTCTGTTTAAAACGCTACGGTAAATTAAATGTATTACTATAACGTAGGGCGTATTTACAAATGAATGAGAAGGTTTGCGTTCCGGGTGTTTGCATGGATGAAGGAGAGTCCTCGTCGAGCACCGGAATAGTTGGTTTATTGTCCTGAGCTTTCAAGCGCTTACAGGAGTTCGTCTTTGCTACTAACACTAATTTATTCATTAGCTGTTATAGCTCTAAGTGAGTGTGAGTAAACCTCTCATTTCACTTATCTAACAGCACTTGACGAAGGCTAGGATGCTAAGTGAAAAAGCTTAAGGAAATAAAAAGAAATGTAAATTGGTCGGAGGGGGGAGTTGGTGAAAAGGCAGTGTGTTGGCGGATACTATGGCCAATTTCGGATTTGGTACCTGCCGGAGTCTCCAGCCAGACCGTTGAACCGTCTCTGCCTCGAAACCTAGGCAAACTGCCTTTTTTTCAACAGTGAATTCTTACTTCTCGGCGTTTGATGTGTTGACGTTTTTTAGTTTTCTTATTGTATGCCGTCTTGTAATTTTTGGTCCTACAGCTGGCATACGCTAGACATGATTAATCCCAATACTCAAGTTAACGTCGTTTAAATTCGCTACCCACAAATTAGCCCATGCCAAACTTACAGTTGATGATTATCTGATGGCTGTAGCCTTTCGACTATAATAT